CCAGGCGGGTCTCGAACCCGCGGGCTCAGGCAATCCACTCACCTCGGCCTCCCAAAGTGTAGGATTACAGGCTGAGCCACCGAGCTCGGCTCAGCGTTGTTGAAAACAGCATCCTCGGGGAACCCTCTCTGGTTCCCTCCTGCTCTGGGAGCTTTTCTGTGCTCTCAATAAATCCTTTTTTTCTCAACAACAACAAAAAGAAAACAGCAGCCTTAGGGTGGGCGCTGGCCCCGCTTCCTAGTCTCCTGTACCTCTCTATCCAGGTCCTTGAGAGCATCGCCTGGAGGCCTCTGAGGCAGAGTGAGGCGTCCCCACTCCAGGCCAGCGTTGCTTCCAGGTGCATGGCTGCGGCCTGCAAAACTGACCTGTGCTGTGGCTCCATCCAGGTCTAACCTGGGCTACGACTTCGCCGGACGTTTTCTGTTCCCTTTGTCTTGCTCTGGTTTCTCTGTTCAGTGTTAAAGCCCCCTTCCTCTCAGTGGGGAAGGGATGAGAGAGATGTAGCCCTTGGGGGTCCCAGCTTAGTGCAAGGAGAGTCTTCTGCTAGGCCCGCCCCCTTGGGCAGGCCCTGCTCCTTGACTTTTATGCCCCTCACCTCCCTTGGGCCACCAGAACCAAGGCCCAAGTTGTTTGAAATGAGACCTGCCACCAGGCGCGGTGGCTCACGCCTAAAGTCTCGACACTTTGGGGGCCGAGGTGAGAGGATTGCCTGAGCCTGCAGGCTCAAGACCAACCTAGGCAACTTAGTGAGACCTCATCTCTACAATAAATACAAAAATTAGCCAGGCACGGTGGCATGTGCCTGTAGTTCCAGTACTTGGAAGACTGAGGCCGAAGGATTGCCTGAGCCCAGCAGGTTGAGACTGCAGTGGCCGGAAGCGTGTCACTGTCCTCCAGCCAGGGTGACAGAGTGAGACTCCAACTCAAAGAAAAAAAGCAAAGAAAAGATATGAGACCTGCCTGGGGAAAAGGTCCCTGTTTTCTCATTTTTACCTGGTAGTTCCCTGCTCTCTTATACTTAGATGCTTCAAATAAGACTTTATTGATTTAGTTGAGACAGGGTCTCACTCTGTGTCCCAGGGCGGAGTGCAGTGGTGTGATCATAGTTCACCACAGCCTCAAATTCCTGGACTCGAGCGATTCTCCTACTTCAGCCTCCTGAATAGCTAGGACTACTGGCGAGCTCCACCATGCCCTAATTTTTTTTCTTTTTTGTAGAGGTAGGATCCTGCTGTGTTGCCCAGGTTGGTCACAAACTTCTGGTCTCAAGTGATCCTCCCATCTCGACCTCTCAAAGAGAATACAGGTGTGAGCCACCTCACCCCGCCAAAAGTGACTTAAAATATTGTCATCAGACCAGGCTTGGTGGCTCAGCCTGTAACCCAGCACTTTGGGAGGCCAAGGCGAGGGGATGGCTAACTCTGAACACCTCCATCTCCCTTCATTTTCGTCTTGTGCAGAGGAGGGTGCCTTCACTGCTCTTGCTAGTTTGTGACTTGAGTTCACGTGACACCGATTCCTCTATCCAACAGTGGGCCTACCTCTCCTCCCTGTGAACCTGGGTGTGTTGTTGTGCCTCACCGATAGAATGCAGCCGACATGTGTGACATCCAAGGCTGGGTTGTAAAAATGCCATCCCCCCTGCTTTGTTGCCTTGAGACACTGGCCCTTGGACTCCAGCCACCATATTGCAAGAAAGCTGGCAGCTACCTGGAGAGGCCTTGCACTGGACTGTACTGTCCACCTGGAGCCTGTGAATGTGGACTTATTTGAGATTATTCTGTGTTAGGATGGGCCCTAAGTTCCATGGCTGGTGTCCTTACAAAATAGAAATTTAGACATAGACACACCCGGGAGAAGACGGGGAGATGAAGGCATCGTCTGGAGTGATGCAGAACCCCCAGGACTCACGGGACCAGCAGAAGCAGGAGGGGGCAAGAAGGGGTTCCTCCCCAACCTTCAGAGAGCATAGCCCTGTGGATACTGATCTCAGGTTTCTGGCCTGCATGACTGAGAGAGTACACTTCTGTTGCTTTGAGCCCCCATTTTGTGGCATTTTGTTTGGGCAGCTCCAGCAGACCCACCAGTCCTGACTGAGGTCCTATCTGAAAGTCAGCATCCACCGCAGATCCTGGTCTTCACAGGAATCCACCCCTTGTCACTGGGTCCCCCAACCTGGAAGCTGCCCTGGGTGATGCTGGGGGTGGGGCATGGAGATAAGCTGTCCCCACTGAACCCTGCCCACATGGGAGAGTCATGAACAGAATAAATGACTGTTATGTATTTAACCCATGTGTGGAGTGGCTTATCATGAGTGACAGCTGCACAGGATGTACATTCACATTTCCTTCCTAGGATGGACCCCACACCCCCCCACTCTGCATGCAGACCTGCCCTGTGGCCCCCATTTCATACACAGACCCATCCTGTGGCCCCACCTTCTCCTGGGCTAAAACCAGGAGCCAACTTTCCAGGTTGGAAGGTCCATGTGTGCCAGTGCTTGCCTGGGCCCAGGACTACCCCAGCCTCTGGGCTCACTGCCCAGTCTACCCAGCTGTGCCTATGTGTCCCCTTCCCACACCCAGCATTGCCCAGCTCTCCCATGGTCACCATCCAGGGGGCGCACGGTTGAATCTTATTTTAATTTTCATTTGACTTTTGTCTCTAGAAAAACTGACAGTAGGCTTTGCTGTTTTTCTAATTGGGGCTGCTTTTTCGTGATGTGCAGGATTTCCAATGGGAAGATGCTGTTGTTAGTTTTATGGAGAAGCACAGACTCAGAAAGGTTGAAGGAGCAGGAGTTGGTGGTTTAGCAAGCTCCTGCCACAGGTGTGCCCATACCAGGACAGGCTCCAGACATATCGCATCTCATTCTGTATGGTGGGCTTTAAATTCCCACCTTTTGGCCGGACTCAGTGGCTCAGCCTGTAATCCCAGCACTTTGGGAGGCCAAGGCGAGTGGACTGCCTGAGCCCACAGGTTCGAGACCAGCCCAGGCAACCCATGCTGCTGGTCCTTTCTTGACAAATGATGACCTGCTTGGCCATCTGCCCCATCCTCCCATCACAGAGCATTTGTATGTCCCCAGACACAGAATATGATGGCTCCTGAGCATTGCAGGTGCGTGCTCTGGGCTCAGGGTGACCCCAGCCTTGCCCCACCCCCTGACACCCCACAGAGCTGTCCTGTCCTAGAGGGTGAAGCCCATATCTGCCTGGCCAGCCCAGGCTCAGGAAGACCTCACTCCCATGCAGAGGTCTGGGGGCAGGCGGTGCTCATGAAGGGACGGGCCAGGCTTGATTGGAATGGTCTCTGTGATGCGCAGCAGGGGTGGCTATGCTGCCCAGGCCCCAGCCCCAGCATGAAACCTCTGCTTGACCAGTGGGGTGGGGTTGAGGGAGCCACACCAAACAAAACAGCAGCAACCTCTTTATTTTAGGCTGGGTTGGTGGCCTCGTGGGGGCACCTATCAGTCGGGGTGCCGACCTTTGGGCTCACACTGATCTGGGAGAGGATGTCCAGGGGTAAGAGTAGGTCAGGGGATCTGGAATGTTCACTGCCCACCACCAGGGTGAGCAAGTTGCAGGGACTGTCCGAGGCCATAGACACACAGATGGCCTGGGCTACTGCAGGCTGGCAGAACAGTCACAGTGCAATAAATAAACAGCACAGTCTCGCCACCCGACCAGGCCCCTGCAGTGAGGGGTGCAGGCTCTTGTCCTTGACTCAGGCAGAAATGGGCTCAGAGGAGCTGGAACAGTCCGAGAGGACGAGAAGGGTGAGAAACCCAGCTGCCAGCTCTGCCCTGACCCCCAGGAACTGCCTAGCATCTGTTCTCGAAGGTGGGCCAGGACTGGCCAGATGTTCAGTTGACCCAGTACCCACTGCCAGAGAGGCCCATTGGGCGGGCAGCCCGGGCAGCCCACAGCTTGCTCCCTTCACAGACCTCAGAAACTCACGCGGGAGAAGGGCCCAGTTCCTGGGAGCTGATTCGGCTGCGTCCTGTTGGGAGCAGAGGTGCCAGCCTGAGCCCCTGAGGGCGCATGTGGGGTGAGGGAGTAAGGAGAGCCAGGGAGCTCCCCACCACAGACAAGACTCCCAGGCCTGTGCCAGGAGTGCAGAGCAGCACGAGGCCCGGATGCTCCTTGTAGGTCCTGTGGCTCTGATGCAGGGTAGAGACCCTGGGAGGCCTGGCCTTTGGGTACCCTGGGGTCCAGCCTTGCTACTTGCTCAGCACCCCCTGGGGCAGCAGCTCTACGTAGCTCAGGGCACTCTGCAGCGATGTCAGGCAGTACCCCTCCTCTCCAATCAGATACCTGTGTTGAGGGCACAGGTGGCACATGTCACCTGGAGGGGACAGAAGGGCACCCCCAGCACTCACAGGGTAGGATCTGGTGCTAAGGCTGCCCCAGGCAGGGCTGACAGGGAGGCAGGGTCAGGGCGACATTCCTGTCCTTGTTCCTGGATGGCAGAACTGAGATGGCTCTTGAGCACATAACAGTTTCTCCCCAGGCAGACGCTGCTCAGGGGAAACCCTCAGCTCCCTTCTTGGAGCGTGGGCTGAGCCAGGGCTATGGAATGTGCCAGCAATGGGCACGCTGTACACAGCTGGCCATGGGGGCACCCTAAGGTGGGCTCTTCATGGCCTCATGCTAGCGATCGGCAGCACCCATCTGGCCCAGCACTGCCGAGCTCCTGGTTCAGGTCTAGGGACAAGGTTGCAGGCAGGCCAGGTCCGCCCTCGCTCTTCCTGCTGAGACCCCCCCCACCCTAGGGTACCCACACCTGGCCCACACTGCCCCAGGCTCTACCCCTCGTGGATGAACTCCTCCAGGGCCGCACACTCGGATACCAGCTGGGGGAGGCCACTCCGAAGTACCACGAACGACAGGATGGGCAGCAGGTCATCAGCGCCACTGTGGGGTAAGGCATGGTGGCGTGGGCTCAGGTCAGGGGTGCTCACTCCCCAGACCTGGGGGCGTGGGTAGAGTCCTGGACTGCCTGCTGCTCTCTTTGCCCTTCTGCCACCAGCAGCATGGAGGCCATCGAGGAGCGAGCCCTCTTGCAGGACTGGGCTGGGCAGCGGCCCCCACATCTCCCATCTGTGCCACCACGGCAAGTGAAGCTGCTAGCCTGGGGCAGGAGGACGGCCCCTCCCCAAGCTGCTCACACCCAGAGGATCCCCTCCAGTCCACTAGTAGCCACCCCAACATGCGGATTTGGGAAGGAGCAGACCAAGTTAGTGTCATGGAGCTTGTCACACTGGGCACTCCAGGCCTATCTCAGGACTGAGAGGGATAAGAAGTCCTGGGGTGCTCAGAATGGGGAAAGTGGGCAGCAGGGAGCCAGAAAATAGCCCAACCCGAAGACAGGGCAGTCTGGCTCCTTCCCTGTGGGCCAGGAGGCTCCACCCACCTGCTGTAGCGGCCCTGCCACCTGTGAGGACAAAGGTGGCACCCACTGGTTCCACAGGAGGACAGTGGGGGCTGGGGCCGGGATGTAAAGTCTGTTAGCCCTGCAGCTCTTCTACCTGTAGTGACTTACTCAGAAGCCTGATTAATAAAACTAGTAAAAGGCCCAGAGGGAGCCATCCTGCTCGGCTTCTTCCCACCAGACCCAGGAACCGAGGCCTGCAGCCTTGCCAGGTTGAGAGCACCTGTTCCCTTTCCTAGGCTGACTCTTCCCTGCCAACTCTGCTCAGCTCTGACTTCCACAAACTCAGCACCTGCAGGCCCTAGGGCAGGTGCCATAGTCCCCCACCAGGCTGCAGAGACAGTGTGCTCAGGGCTGACCCTGGTTCCTGGGGCAGGGCAGGAGGCAGAGCCTGGGCAGGTGCTGAGGGAGATGCTGGCCCCAGGGACACCAGGATAAGTCAGGAGGTTGCTGATCACACATAAGTCTAGGGGAGACTGAGGTAGGACCAGGCATCCCAAAACCACAGGGCTGCAGAACAGGTAGAAAACTCCCCCTCCCCACCTTGAGAGGGGAGCTGGGCAGAGACATCCCAGGCCCTGGGCAGGCTGGGGTTCCATGGAAGAGCAGGCCCTTCCCCAGAGCCTGGTGGCCTCAGGCTCTGACTCCTTCGCTCCCCCGCATGTGAAATAGGATTCAAGTATATGCTTCTGGGAAGGGCACCCCCAACTCTCACCAGGCAAGCCTTGGCCCAGCCTGAGAGCACCATGCAAGCAGTCCAGCCCCAATAGGCAGGAATGCATGGTGTGGACTGGTGCCCTGCCCCTGCCCTGAGCTGGGTCCAGGGGACAGGCTCTGCAGCTCACTAGGGAGCGCAGGCCCCAGCCGATGCCTGGGACAGAAATCTCCCTCCCCAGCTGGGCCTCGGAGGGTGGAGGCCAGCCCACACATGTCCAGCACCCTCCAGGTCGTACTCTCCCGCAGTCTGGCTCTCCTAGGACTCACATGGCAGCTGCAGTCGTGGGCTGGGGTCCAGCCTGGGATGCGACCTCTTGGGCATGGCAGTAGTCTTCCGCACAGACACAGATGACCCGCAGTGCCCGCACTGTGGCCCAGATGTGTGGCTTCAGGAGTGTGGGCGGTACAGCAGGAGGACCCAGCAGGGATGGGAGCCCTTCCCATGGTGGGAACCGCTCCTCACGCTGGACACTGCCCACCTGCCCACCCCCTCCTGATGTTCAGGGCTGGGAAGAGCTGGGGTCCCAGGGCCCTGGCATGTGACAAGTGGTGAAGGCACAGACTCCAGGCCACTGGCTGGGAGGGAGCCTGCCTTGCCTGCCCCTCTCCCAGTCCCTCAGACCCCTCACCTATGCACTCCAGCTTCTTCTGGGGGCAGCTCTCCAGGACCAGCAGTCCCAGCTCCTGGGCTGCCGCACAGTAGGGGTAGGTGGCAGCCCCCTTGGCTTCGGGGCCCCGGGGGAGGAGCTTGGCAGGAATGCCCACAGCCGAGGGGGGTGCGTTCCTATACAGCTCCATGCTCTTGCTCAGGGCGGTTTCCCGGGCGCGGTGCACACTTCTGCAGCAGAGAGGCCAGGCTCAGCCCCAGGGGACCCTGCCTTAGGACTGAAGCTCAGTCCTGAAGAAAATCAGAGGTGCATCCCAAGAAAACAGCTGGCCTGTTCCCGGGACCCTGGTTGGGAGGGTGGTCATGACCCTACCTGCAGACTGCGAATGCCTGAGGATGGCCTCAGGCAGGCCAGCACTGGCCAGAAGCCTCCAGGTGGAGAAGGGGCAGCGGGTGCTCTCACAACCACAGCATGCCCTGTGGGCATGGGGGCTGGGCGACACCAGGCAACCGTACCTGTACAGCGCCAGCAGCAGGGGCCACAGCGGGGAGAAGAAGGGCTCCTCAAGGCATGCCAGGCAGCGGTCCTTGGAGGCTGCTGTATTCAGGCCTTCGAAGGCCAGAAGGGTCAGCGAGAGCAACCTGTCTGCCGGGAAGAGTCAGAACGTCGTGGAGACTCAGCCATGGTGACCTCCTCCCTCAGCCAGCCTCCTTGAGATGGGGTGACCTGGGAGAGGCCCTGCCCAGTCCTTCCTCCAGGTATTCAAGCCCCTGACTCCCATCCCCCACCCTTCCTGTGACCACAGCCTGGGATCAAGCAGGAAATCGGAGGCCAGAGCCCAGTGTCCTTCTCCCCAACCCCTGGTCGCTGATTCAGTCACATACAGCTCGTCTGTGTGGCCAAAAGGTCTGCAGAGCAGAGGGCAGGGTGGACTCTTCCCAAAAAGGGCCTTTCCCCCAGACTGCAGGAGCTGGAGGGACTTGAGCATCACATAAGAAAATGCACCCTGGGTGAGGCCTGACCAGAGGCCCTTAGCACGGGACATCACAGTGGGGACGTGTCAGGGCTCCTGCCCTGGTTCTTAGCCCAGGAAACCATCATCCCTTTCAGGGACTTGAAGTTGTCTGCCACTCTTTAGGTGACCCACACACTCGACAGTCTGGGTTGGGGTAACATGAGTAGACCCAGTGGGCTGGCCAGGGCCACCTGCTGATCAGACCCCTCTCCAAACCCAAGACTGAAGCTGATCAGGGCAAACCAGCAGGGGAGAACAGGCCGTCTCTGTCCCTGTGGGGCCAGTGAGGGCACTGCTGGGGACAGAGGGGGATCTGGACTCCACCGCAGGCAGGGCACTTGGCCACAGGGGAGGATGGACAGAGGGCTCTGCAGATCCACCTTGGCCTGGGGGTCCAGGGAAGGGTCCTGGGGCCTCACCGACAGCGTCGTGTATGTCTTGTACTGCTTGCTTCAGCTGCTCCAGCAGGGGCTCCGGCTGCCCAGAGCGGACCCAGCCCCGCCTCTCAGACACAGCCAAGAATTGCTCCAGGTCCTCAAAGGAGCTGTCCCTGTCGGGCAGGCGTGCTGCAGCATCCGCCAGGGGAGAGGGGGGGCCCACGCTGCTGTCCACCCCTCTGTCCACAGGGCTGGGGCGGAGCTGGGGTGTGGGGGGCTCGGGGATGCCATCTGGGGGCTGCGGGGCTGCGCTGGGCTCCGGTGGGGACAGCACGCAGTACAAGCTCTGTGAAGACCGCAGGCGGCGGCTTCCAGGAGCCAGCAGCCGCTCAGTGTCGGGGCTCAGGGAGCAGGTGCCCCAGGGTGGACGTGGCGCTCACGGCTGCCCGGTTCACCACAGGATACAGCGCGCTGTACACGGCGCACTGCAGCCTCTTCAGGAGCTGCGAGATCGGGTGGTCGGGGTGGCTGCAAGGACAGGGGGGCTGGCACAGGGTGGCCATCAGCCACTGCTTGCTGGCCTGGGAGACCCTCGCTTCTCTACAAAGATGCACACTACAGTTTCAGGCAAGTGATGCATGACCCACCCCACTTGGGGAGCGTAAGAAAAATTCTTCAGCACAGAGGGGCCCAAGGTGTCAGCAGGACACATCACAGGGCAGGCAGTCAGGAAGAGACAGCAGCCACACCACTGCCCGGGGGAGCCCATCCCTGGGGCCCGCTGCCCTCCCCCACAATCTTGCTCTCCACCCCCGTCTTCTCGGCATCTGGCAACCCAGAGAGGAGCCGAAGGCAGGCGGAAATTGGGGGTCCCAAAGGCCCAGGGCACCTGAGTAGGTGTGAGACCAGGCTGGTCACCAAAGACAGGTCCCCGGGGCTCCTCTTGAGCTTAGCCCGCCAATGCTTCGGCCAGTCCTACAGGACAGGGAACCTTGAAGGAGACACGGAGGGGCCCCCACGACAGGACACCCCTCAACACCCACCAAGGTTGGCCCCAGGAGACCGTCAGAGCCCTCACTGAGTGAAGGCTGAGCCCTCACTGGCTCCTGGCTGTACCCCCACCTGAAGGGAGCCCCCATGTGACCCTGGCCTGCAACCACCCCCCACCTCCCAGGGACGCACGTGGTCTTGCTCATACTCCAGGATGGCGGCATAAAGGGCTCGCTGCTCCCTCTCCTCTGGGGTCAGGGCAACCTGGCTGCAGAACCTCCTGGGAAGGAAGGTGTAGGATGCGTCCCTGGGTTGGCCCCATGGGCACCCTGCTGGCCTCCCACAGCTGCTGTGAGGCAGGCACAGCCGCACCTGTTGGCGGCCTCCTGCAGCCGTAGCCGGCGCTCCTCCATCTTCCTCTGCAGCTGGGTGCGGAGTCAAGGGCCCCTTGTGGAGTCCAAGGAGGGCCCGCCGACCCACCCCCAGCCTGGCACCCTGGATGTCTCAGGGCCATCTGGAGCGCAGGGGTCCAGGGGCAGCTGATGTTGTCGCCGCCCTCCCGAAGTCCTGGGTGGGCAGGGCCAGAGGGATGGACTGACTCGGGGCAGGGCTGTTCTGGAGAGGGCTAATGGGGAGGAATGTCTCAGCGCATTTGGAAGCTGGAGGGGAAAGTCAGCCTGCACAGAGGCCAGGACCATCCCCCAGGTCATGCTTCTCCAAAGCGGGAGGAATTCTCATGCCCACAGCCCAACCCTGGCACCTCTGTTCCCCTTGCTGCCCCCTCCTCTGTCTGCAGCTCAAGGCCATACTCTGAATTTCCCCCCCAGGGACCGCCAAGATGGTCAGAAAGGATGCTGTCTCCTCCCGGGCTTTGGCGATCACCAGGTTCTCCATCATCTGACGCTGCAGAGATAGGGTCTAGGAATGGAAGGTGGGAGTAAGGCCTACCCTGCCCCTTCCCAAGCCCATCCCAGACCCGTCCCAGGCTTTCACTCACCAGGGATGTTTTTTGCATGGCCTGGCTGGGGTCCAGACGGGCCATCCGGGCCTCATAGGCAGCCTTCAGCTTCTGGTTCTGCAGGGAGGCCTCCTCCAGTGGCGTCAGCTCTCTGCAAACAGTGACAAGCAGTTGTCCAGGCCTCAGGAAGCCCAGGAATGGTCTGGTGACCTGGGGAGCCTCCCTCATCCTCCAAGATTCAGATACCAGGAGGTGAGGAGATGGTGGTGACGGGGGCAGGTCTGGGCGGGCTGGAGATACCTGCCCCTTCCAGCCTGCCCTGCCAAAACACAGCTTTGCAGGACTTTTGACTTTTTTTTGACTTGGCGTCTCACCCCGTCACCCAGGCTGGAGTGCAATAGCATGCTCCCGGCCACCGCAGCCTCAATCTGCTGGGCTCCAGTGGTCCTTACGCCTCAGCCTTCCAAGTAGCCAGAACTACAGCGGTGCGCTACCACACCGGGCTAATTTTTGATTTAACGTAGAGATGAGGTTAGGCCCAGTTGCCTGGCTGGGTCTTGAACCCATGGACTCAGGCAATCCACTTGCCTCAGCCTCCCAAAGTGCTGGGATTACAGGCTGAGCCACCGAGTCCTGCCACTTTTGACTTTTCAAGAGAAGCTGGGCTGTTGGACTTTTATGGAGATCAATTATTTGTGTTTAAAGGCACTGTACAGGTCAAACAGCTAGATTCATTTATAACCCATTAAAGGGGGAAGTATGGCTACCACAGGACAGTTCCCAGCAGCCCCTCCACCTTGAAAGCTTGGTTACACATTTCTTCCTGGTGTCAGGGATGGTGGAGAAGAGATGGTGGGGACACAAGACTAAGGAGAGAAAGTCTGTCCTGGGACTGATGGCCTGTGCCTGGTCCTGCCCTGAAGCCACACATGCAGACTAGGAAGCCAGAGGGGCCCAGGTGGCCCAGTCACAGCAGGCCAAGAGGAGTGAATTCTCCTTGTTTATTCTACTTGGGATTCATTGGGCTTCTTGCATCTGTGTCTCTGTGTTTTTCATCAGTTCTCGAAGATTGCCACAATATCTTCAAATAATTCCTCTCCCATTTTCTTTCTCCTTTCTAGAGTTCCAATGAATGCTTAGACCATCTGTCTCTCTTATTTTCTGTCTTTTTTGTTTCTGTGATACATTCTGAATATTGCTTAATCTTTTTTTCTGGTTCACTAATTCTCTTTTCAGCTATGTCTACTCTGCTGTTAGAAACTTGTCTACTCATTTTTATGTTTATGTGTGGATTTCTGTTGGAGAATATAATTTATTCTTACTCTCAACTGGTTATTAAAAATAATTTTAGTAGTCTGTTTTCCACTTCATTTCTACTTGGTTCTTTATCGAATGGGTTAGATTTTATTGTTTCTTGTTCCCTTCAAGTTTTTTTTTTTTTTTTTTTTTTGAGTTGGGGGGTCTCACTCTGTCACCCAGGCTGGAGTACAGTGGTACAATCATGGCTTGCTGCAGCTTCGACCTCCTGGGTTCAGGTAATCCTTCTGCCTCATTCTACTGGGTACTTGGGACTACAGGCATGCACCACCATGCCTGGCAAATTTTATTTTTTTGTAGAGATGAGGTCTTGCTATGTTGCCCAGGTTGTTAAAAATCCTGGGCTCAAGCAATCTTCCTGCCTCAACCTCCCAAAGTGCTGGGATTATAGGTATAAGTCACTGCACTCGGTCTTCTTCAGGTATTTTCAAACTTGCCTTTTGTTTCTCTAAACATAGAGAACATACCCTCAGTGTGCATGGGAAATTGGTTCCAGGACCCCCAGCCCACAGATGCTCAGGTCCCTTATATGGTTTTTTGTTTGTTTGTTTTTGGAGTAGGAGTCTCACTCTGTTGCCCAGGCTGGAGTGCAGTGGCACACTCACGGCCACCACAGCCTCGACCTGGTGGGCTTAGGTGATCCCTCCACTTCAGCCTTCCAAGTAGCTGGAACCACAGGTACACACCACCACACCCAGCTAACTTTTTGATTTGCTGTAGAGATGAGGTCTTGCCAAGTTGCCCAGGCTGGTCTCGAACCCCTGGGCTTAGGCAATCCTCTTGCCTCCAACTCCCAAAGTGCTGGGGGGATTACAGGTGTGAGCCACCAAGCCCGGCATATGGCATATTTGAATGTAACTTATATATATCTTACTGGGTGCTTTTTTTTTTTTTTTTTGAGTTGGTGTCTCACTTTATCACCCAGGCTAGAGTGCAGTGGCACGCTATGGCCTCCGCAGCCTAGACTTGCTGGGCTCAGGTGATCCTTCCACTTCAGCCTTCCAAGTAGCTGGAAACACAGGCGTCCTACTTTTTTTAGTTTATTGTAGAGAAGAGGTCTCACCAAGTTGTTCAGGCTGGTCTCAAACCCCTGAGCTCAGGCAGTCCTCTTGCCTCAGCCTCCCAAAGTGATGGGATTACAGGCGTGAGCCACCATGCCTGGCTTATTATTTTCTTTAGAGAAAGGATCTCGCTCTGTCACCCAGGGTAGAGTGCAGTGGTATGATCATAAATCACTACATCTTTGACCTCCTGGGCTCAAGTGATCCTCCCACCCCAGCCTCCCAAGTAGCTACAGGAATGCCTGGCTAATTTTTAATTTTTTGGTAGAGAGGAATTTTGCCATGTTATCCAGTCTGGTCTTGAACTTCTGGCCCCAAGTGATCCTTCCCACCTCAGCCTCCCAAAGCACTACTGTATGCTTTAGATTATCTCAGATTACTTACATTACCAAGTACAATGTAAATGGTACATAAATAATTGTACCATATTGTTTTTGGAATTTGTATTATTTTTTTTCCCACAAATATTTTTGATCTGCATTGAGTCCACAGATATGGACCCCACTATTTGAAGAATGGGCAGGCTGATTTCTGCTATAATTCCCCTGTAGTTTTTTGTTTCCCTTTGTGCTTGGTTATCTTTGACTGTGTGGCACTTACTATAAGAAGCGAAAAGATGCTTTCCTCCAAAGAGGATTTGCATTTGCTTCTGTCAGGAAAAGGGTATTCCAGTTCTGGGACCCATTTTACTAAATCTGTCACGATCAGCTCACCTTCCTGGGCCCCTACAACCCACTCCGAGGCTCAGCCCACCTCCTGTCTTGCCCCGTCTTACTTCTTAGAGCTTTGTGACTCTACCACCTGCAGCTTCTGGAAGATCTCAGGCGGCAGGAAGGGAGAGAGCTTCCCCCCTTCGTCGGAACACACCCGGCGGTGTCGGCTGGTAGGTGAGGGGATGGAAGCAGCAGCAGGCATGGCTGGCTTCAGGCGCGTCTTCCCTGAAAGCCACATGTAGCCAGGATCAATGGTGGGCCCATACCCCACAGAAATGCAGACCTGGGATGCCCCTGAGGGCCTTCCTCTGTGGGAGACCCACCAAGCTTGGTAGCTGTCGACTGGGCCCTCTCCAGACACTGCTCCGCTAGCTTCAGCATCTTTGATGTGTCAGCAGGCACAGGTTCCCCAGCGTCTGGGGAGGGACAAAAAGGCTGGTTACAGCCAGCTCTGTCACATCAGTCTATTGCTGAGAGAAAAATAAGGCCAGGAGAAAGCTGGGCAAACTCCAACCCCGACCTAAGCAAGCCACCTGTCCTCATTCATCTGGTCACCTGCCCAGGATTACCCTGTGATTTGTGCAGGCACTGTGCTGGGCCAGCCCAATGTCAGGCCAACCCCCTGCCTCTCCTTGGGGCCTGGGTGTCAGAACCGCTACCTACACAGGGTCTTTACTGCTTGCTGAGAGCTGCTCTTGCAACTGCAGCACCTCCGGGAGGCAGCCACTCACAGAGACAAGGACTGCTGAGGGGATACTCCTAGCCCACCCTAACCGCTCCTGTGCCTGGACACCTTCCCACTGCTCAGTATCGAGCCCCTCTGTGTGCTCCCCCTCCCCCCAGGCTCCCATTCTTGGATTGCTGCTGTCACAGACATGTGTAGGAGCTGCCACATTGCCAGCCTCCTGGGACCCCACCAGCCCCAGCTCCTTTGTTCCCGCTTCGCTCACAGTGACCCTCTTGGATGCCCACTTTCTCACTCCATACCATTTTATCCCTGACACCCCCAAAATTGCCCTTGCCCACCCTTACGCTGCCAGATGTGGTGGGCCACTTGGATTTCTCCATCCTCCAGGATGTCACCCTGCCCTGGGCTCCTCTGCATGCCTCCCAGCTCCCCCAGCTTGGGCTCACTCATTCCTTAGGGAGCTGGGCAGATCCTCACGCCCCTGGCCTCTGTGCTCCTATGTGCAACGAGCTGCTGGCCACCTCAAACCTACTGTGCCCATCATGGAACTTCCTATTCCTCTTACAATTCTGCTCCTGCCCCATCTGCCCCTAGCCAGTCCGGTCTGTTTACCTTCAAGATATACCCCCAAGTCTTCGCTGCCTCCTCTGAGTGGTCCAACCACCACTTTCTTCACTCCAGGAAGCTCTGGTCCCATGCTGGCCTCTCCCACAGAGCTCAAAGCTCCTTGAACTTCCCTTCACACCAGGATGACTCCAGCTCTACCCAAGGTTCACAGATCCCTGCCTGCTCATCCCTGTTTTGGCCTTTGCACACACCCCTGCTGGAGTGTTCCCCAACCTCTGCGCCGCTCACTGGGGCCCGTGTATTGTCCCACCTCAATCTTTACTCCCTTACCCACAGCACAGTCCCTTTCTGCACCATGTCACCCCATGACAGCTCATGCTCAGAGTCCACCTTCTGCTAACAACCAGGCTGGAAGGACGCAGGAGACCCCCAGGCCTAGACCCAGCAAGGGCTAAGTCATTTTCCCAGCATGGAAGGAGCAGCACTGAGGAGCCGTACCTTTCGCCATCTCCACTTCTTCCAGCAGCACCTGGGAGATGTAGTGGATGCTCCTCAGGTATTCTGTGTACGCCTCCTGTGTCCAGGAAAGAGAATGGTGGGTCAGCCTGGAGAGGGGAGTGATTGGCACCTGTGGGATAAGCAATGAACGATGGTGCCTGCGTGTCTCTGATCTGCTTGGCAGACACCTCATGGTGGCTAGCTGATCAGTCAGAAATCGCTCCTGGGGCACAGACCACATCCCTGCTCTCTAGACTTGAAGGAAGAAATGTCGGCCCCTGAGAACAACGTCAGAGCCCTTCTTACTACTTCTGCTTTGGGCAGTGAGGGCCCCTGTCACTGCCTTTCTTTCCAGCACAGGAAGGAACTGACATTCTCATTCCATGGGCCTGGGGGAACAGCCTCAGCAATTGCTGTCATTCTTCACTTGGTGCAACAAGTTTCCTTCCTGTGTGTAGCAACTCAAGGGTCATGGATTCAGTGGCTTGAAAAAAAAAATTTCTTGAGAGGACAGAAAGCGTGGTGCTGCAGATCTCAATGACACCACTTCCTGGCTTAGGTTTTGGGAAATCCCTTTCCCAGACACCAAAGTAGTTCCTGTGCACACAGGAGCCTAGAACACTCGAGTGCTGGCAGTTTCAAGGGAGTGACCACTCTGGCCTGACTCCTCTGTCCTTCCAACCTGGGCTCTGACAGGGCACAGGGCACTGGCAGCCACAGCATGGTGTGTGCTTTTCTGTTTTATCCCAGCCTGCTTATCCCATCTTTAATTGCATCTATGCCACAGAGAAAAAGACAAGATAGATTCCAAGCTGGATTTCTTTTTTCTTTCTTTCTTTGTTCTTTTTGAGTCAGAGTCTCGCTCTGTCGCCCAGGCTGGAGTGCAGTGACACAATCATAGCTGCTGCAGCCTGGACCCGCTGGGCTCAGGGGATCCCTCTGCCTCAGCCTCCCAAGTAGGTGCAACTACAGGTGTGCGCCACCACGCCCAGCTCATTTTAAAAAAAAACTTATTGCAGAGACGAGGTCTAACTACGCTGCCCAGGCTGGTCTTGAACCATTCGGGACCAGGCAGTCCTCTCGCCCCTGCCTCCCAAAGTACTGGGACTACAGGCGTGAGCCACCACGCCAGCCTCCAGGCAGGATTTCTTGACTCGTGGGGGCACCTGCTGCCCTAGAAAGCCGGCTTGGCGAGCAGTTGACTCCGGACCAGGGCCGGCGGACCAGGGCCGGCGGGGCTTGGGCGGCCTTTCGGTCAGTGGCCCCGGGCTCAGCGACGAGACACGCCCCTCCTGCCAGCTGCTCGGCCCGGGCAGCGCGAAGGAGCAGGCAGCCTTTGCGGGCCTCTGTCCGGGTGGCAATGGGCAATGCCTGCGGTCTCTGCCCAGACAACGGCCGAGCGCAAGGGGCGGCTGGCCGCAGGTATTTCGCCGGGCTGCCTCGCGGCTCTCTCGAGGCCCCTTCCCAGCCTCGGCCCTGGTCCTCCTCCTCCGAACACACGGGAAAGCTGAGCAAGGGCCTGAGATGTCCAAGGTCGCGCCGCAGCCCCGGAGCCCGGCGTCCCGACCGCCGGCCTTCCTCCGCGCCCGGGAGCTGCCGGAGGGGCCCTGGCCCCAGCCCGGTCCCGAGCCCCGTCCCCACGCCCCGCCGGGCTGCCCCGTCCACGCCGCCGGGCCCGCCGCGGACTGGAATTCCTCCCGGAGCTCCCGCGGCGGCCGAGCCCGCCCGCGCCTCGCCTCACCCGGGGCCGATTGCCGGTGTCCAGCTCTATGGCCCCGTTGGCCAGCTTCATGGCGCTCTGCAGCGGCTTCACCGAGCCGTCCCCGGCCCCAGCGGCCATGGCGCCGGGCGGGGGAGGCGGCGGGGGCAGCGACCGAGGGGCGGGGCGGGGGCCGAAGCCCGGAACGCAGTCCTCGCGGACGCTGGAGCCGCCCGAGCGGCGGGCCGCCGGGAGGGGCG